TTTCTGCTGCATGCCATAGGTTTTGGGAGTAGGAAAGATACCGACCTCTTATGTATGCTATGATTTCAGTTATTTGGTATTTGAGTATAAACGTTAGAATCTTTGCAAACCATCATCTTTTTAAGCAATTGTTATGGCCTTGTATGATAGAACTTGCTAAGTGTCACAACCAAATGCTAAGGTGCATCCTAGCAATCTACATGGTTGCCGTTAGGCACTTTCTCCTTTGTAATTCTTTTGCTGTATTTGTGCCATGTTTATTTACAGGTACTGGTTATATGCTGCTGTTTGCTATAAGTGTTTGTTGGTGACAAATGATGAAATGAGGGACCACTTGTTTCAGTTGCTAGGGACTTCCTTTTTTCCAAGATGGAAGGAAAAGCATCAGGTATTTCAACTCTTTCAGATGCATGTGGTGTATATATATGTTTTATGTTGTGTTGGTTCACAGATTTACAAAACTAAGCTTTTCTCTGATTGAGAAGTAGGTGAAACCTCCCTGTTTTGCTTTTTCATGAGCGTTTTCTAAACTAGGTACTTTCTGGTGATACGTCCATGATGTTGTATATTTATGGGCTTCCAAGTTTTGCTCTGAATTCATTGATATTATGCACTGTTTGCCTAAGAGCATGTTTACCTCACATTGCTTAAGGGCTACTGAATATTATATGATCTAATAGTTGTCTTACATTGCATGAAATAACATTTCAGAATATGTCAAAGTTTTCTTGGAGCGTCCAGTTTAAACTCACCCAAGAATGTGATTAATCGAATTTCATAAATAAAAAACGTGTTCCAATATATTCAGTATTAGAAGAAATTGATAATGCCATGTATTATATAGGAACTCATCTTTCTTGGAAATATTTGCAGGTCCGACTCTCAGTATCGCGATCTGGAATTGCTTTGCAGATGCCTCCTCCCTACTCAATTGTTATTCAGGTGCGATGTTCAACCATAAGTCTGCATTCATGCTAATGTTTTTCATCATTATATGGGAGCTTTCAAGAGATTTTGGTTTATGATGGTTTTGTGAACGCAGGAGTCAGAAAATGGTAGTTGGCATGTTCCGACAACCACAAATGATGATCTTGAGACCCCAAGGCAGTGGTTATGTGCCACCCGACCCATCAAATCATGATTCATGGCTATGTTCAACAGGGATGGGTTACATCCAACGTATGTTGGCACGCATTCTTGCATGAACGAGCATGTGTACGAGGAATGAATCAATAGATTCATAATATTCATTTCTACTGTGCTGTATTTTTCAAATAGTAATCATACCTCATGGAATAAAGGAGTCATTTTTCAACTTACCATTTTCTTCTGTGAAAGTTATAGCTTCCCCTGTGTAATAGTTGGGAAATGAGAAAATAGTTTGTTCAATGAATCAATGAGCAGCCAACCATCAGATTTTGTTTGTTTTCCACTTTCCAATTTTTCGCCAGTTTGTGGAAGTTATTAGGCAGCTAGAATTTGTTCTGAAGATCATTTCAATTTCACTAGTATCATAGAATAGCATAGTTATAAAACCTGGCACTGTCAGGTGATCCATTAACTTAAAACCTAACTAAAGCTAGGTTTTCTTTAAAATTGGAATGGATGTTTAGCAGTGGAACCTGGCTGAACAACACAATTCACTCTAAATAGAGAAAGCATTTAGCTTCTGGATCAAAAGAAAGATGGGTTGTCGATTCAATTCATAAGTCACTATATTATTATTTTTATTAAAACAAAAAAAATATTATAATTTCGGTTTAGTTGGGTTTGACTAAAGAATTTTTTTTCTATTTTAAATTGAAACTTGATCTAGGTTAAATTTTAGATCACAGTTTTGCGAGTCAGCTTAACTTATATGTTAAATAACTATATTGTAAGCAAACTAACTAATAAACCGTGCCAAGCAAATAACAAAAAACATTCATCAGCTCAGGGAGATAAAACACATTCATGAGTGAATTGCAAGTGTCAAGAGACAGGAGTAATAATTGGAATAAATATATCGAAGGACTGCATTTACTGCAATGACTCGTGTGCCATCCATTCCCCAATTTTTCCCTTGTATGTTCAAATATATCCATGAGTTTTCATTTCCACTCCAACACCATCCAAGGAGCGCATCAGCATGACTTTCAGGCCCATCATGAACAAGCTCCCCATCAACAAGCTTATACTTCCGAAGGATTTAACCTTTGCCTTTAGATGCTCTTCTTCTCTATTTGTTCAGCTATGATATCTATCTGTCAAGTGTTTGTGAAGTGCATTCTGTACAATTTTCTGTGTGGATAAGGTGGATACCCTCTCATCATTTGGGTCATTGGCGGCTTGGCATAACCTCAGCCTTGTCTGAATTGCATGAGCTAAAGCCCATGCAACAGATGAACCTTAGAAAAAAAGAAGGGAGTTAACGTTAAAGAGAAAAACTAATTACACTGACTGTGATAACTTGATGAAGAGAAGAAATGTTCTTGCTTCTGGTGATTTCATAGATTGCAATTGTTTAGATTAAATTGCATGAAGAAAGGAAGATGTTGTTAAGGATTAAGTCCTTTGTCATTAAAACTAATTAAAATGAACAATCTTCTTGCAGATCATTCTTGGGATTCCAGCAACTTACTTCCATTTTCTTTGAAAATCTAGGAACTAAAGAAACAAGGAGACTAAAAGATCTCTAAATAAAATACTAGAACTAAGCCATAGAATAGAGTAAAAACAAAGCAAGACCATAGGTAAACGAAGCTGAAAATACTAAAGAGAAGAAGGCAAAGAGCTATTGCAAGTTTTGAAGAACATCTCCCTTTAACTTCTTTTTTTTATACTTTAGAAAACTAAATTGTCCAAGAAGAAAAAAGTTATTGTTAAAACTATTTATTAATGGCTGACGAAATAAAAATAGATTGACAAAAAATAAATTTTTATAAGTTAAAATATCATTTACAGCTAATTCACACCCGAATCCAACCATATACCAAAACCTAAGACAGAAACTCGAGGCTATTTCACTCTTCTATTTTTCTTCTTGATTTTTTTATTTTTATTTTTAGTTGTAAATTTTTTTATTTTGTTTTATTTTTTAAAGCTTGATGTCAAAATTAAAATACTCCTGAGTCATAATTTTAAAAAACTGACCGAATTGTCATATTTTTTTAAAAGTTTGGATATCCAGAGTTAAATTGAGTTACAACAACTTTGATGGAATCCAGTAATAAAAAATATTGGAAGTAGATAAAACCATCGGATATAGTAATTGTAAATAAAATTTACAGCATGTTATTAGAGGCTCACTCTAAAGTATAAGAAATATTTCATTAAGAATTAGACTGATTATCCCTTCTTCTTAGATGGATTCTTCTTCCTTTCTTTCTGTAGGAATTCCACTAGTCACTGTCAAAAATCTATTTTCGTTATCCATTACACACACAAAATACAAACGAAAAACATATATAAAGACACTACCATCAATATTAATTAAATAATATATCTATATTTAAATTAAAATATTTACTTGTTAAAATACTTTAAATAATAAAATTTTCTTGTTGTCGATAATAAATTATTTATTTTTTAAATTTTATTACTCATCTCTTAATACAAATATTGTTTCAGGATTAAATAATCTTATTTTAGTGAAATGTATTTTTAAACAAGGTTTTTAAATCAAAATAAATGAATTTAATAACCTCTCAATAAAATGAATCTAAATTATTGGTTTGGAAGAAATATAAAGCTTAAAGAATCAAGAGAAAAACATTAAATTTTAAGTTAAGAAAGAATATCTAAAATAATAAAAAATAAAAACATTGTCTTGAACTCTTTATTCACCACCTTCTTTTTATAGTTGATTTTGGGAGTTAAAAATTTGAGGGATTAATATTAATCACATTAATTTTCACATTATTATCTTTTAATTAATCACTATAAATCCATAATAAAACATTAACATTATAATCATAAAATAAATCTCTTTTGAATTGACAAAACCTCTTCAAGCTTTATTAGAAATATACCAAAAAATTAATTAGATTATTTCTTTCATAGATTTGATAAAATAATGAGTTGGAATAGAAGAAATAATTCTTCATGAATCAAATCCAAACCTGTAATTTCTATGCTCTAATTTTAAAAAAAAACATAAATATACATATCAACATATAAAAGTAAAATAACTTATAATACTTGGTAATATAAAATAGATTGAAAAGGTAGATTGAAGTAATAATTAATTCTTTGACTTTAAAATATTTTTTTATTATTATGTTAGCAGTGTGGTTGCAATAATTTACTATTTATCTTTCATTTTGTACAGAGGTTAGCAATCAGTTTTTTATTAAAATTTTGAGTATTATCAGCTATTAATCTTGTTGGTAAGCTATAACAAAAAAGTAGATCCTTTTCAATGAATTTTTTTATTATTTTTTGTGTCATGTGGGCATAAGAATTGATCTTTATCAATTTAGTGAAGTAGTCAATGCTAACCAAAATAAATCCATATTCATTGTTAGTTTTTAAATTAATTGGTTCTTTGACATCTAAACCCCATATATCAAAGAGTCAAGTCGAGGTCATATTGATAAATAATTTTCAGGGGTGCATTTATCTTATCACCATATATTTGACACTTGTAATATTTTCTGACATAATTTGCACAATCTCTCTCCGTGGTCAACAAGAAATATTCAAATCTTTGCATTTATCTTGCCATTGTATAGCCATTGATGTGGGTGGCATAAATTACCTTGTGTATCTTCTTCATAGCTCGTTCAATTTTATTTTCATTCAAACACTTAAATAGAGTCTCATAAAATGACCTTTTATATATGATTTCCATATCCAAGTAAAGTTTCATGGTCATTCTTCTCAAAATCTTATTATCTATCTTAAAAGCCTTTTAATAGTATTCTCGGTGCTGGAGAAGCTTTAATTGACTTTAAACTTTTGATTTTTCTTGTAATTTTATCCAAGATTTCAATCAATTGACTTGGTAAAAATTAAATTTTATCTTTTAAAATTTTAATTTTCTCAATTAAGCCCAAATTAGGTCTCATACTTATTTTTTCACCAATTAAACCCTTAATAAAATTTATTTGACCCATTTAAAGTATAACTAAGTCCTTATACCTAATTAAATCTTTTAATTAGACCCAAAATAATTCTTAAACATAATTAAACCTTTAATTTGGCCTATGATTGAATCAAATTGACATATTAGAACATTAATTATGTCATTAGACTTATTTTTTATATAAATTTATCCAATAATAATTTAATTTGATATTGAATCTGCATTATTTTTTTAGTATTAAGTATAATGAGGTATAATTAGGCTTCTGATTTCTTCTAAAATTACAGCTTGATTTTATGCATATTTGAAATCCTTCCTCAACTTATTTTTTCCACATCATTAGTCTCCTAGATATTATTATCTATTATTTATTTTTATATTAAAAAGAAAAAAATGTAAATTTAGAGGGGAATAACCCTGAAATGGATTATGAAAAAAAATAAACAGACATCTTTTTATAAAGATATAATTAAATTAATGGTATTCTATTTTAAAAAAATACAAATTTTCATTTACTAGATATAACTTTTCATTATCCATAACAAAACACAAATTTAAATTGGTAAAAATTAATCTCTTATGGTTTAAAAATATTTTACAATGAACTAACATCCAAGCGCTTAAGTCAAGCTAGCTCATGTATATAGATTTAAGCTCAAAATTTACTTTGTTTAGATAATCTCTATTGTAAAACTCATGTATCTTTGGAGTCAAATCTTAATTCTTAAAATATGCATTATACATTAGGAAAGTTTTTTTTAATGTGAAATAAAGTTTTAGGTTTTATTAAAACATATCAATTAAAATTTTTTAAAATTAATTTTTTATTTAGCATAATTTATTTAAATCATATTAATATTTTATGTTAAAAAGTATATGTTGAAGATTAAATTCTAATAAAATTTTAACCTAAAAAAATGAAACCTATTTTTAATTTTGCATCAAATTTGGTCATTAATCATGTTTTTTAAACAAATTTCATACAACTAATCAACACAAAATTTCAAAAATTTTAATTTATATTAAGAAATTTCTAAATCTATATATATCCTAATTTTGTTAATGAAATTATGTAATTTAAATATCTATAAATTCATCATCAAAGGAAATGTCATTTAATGGAGTTTTTAACGATGTAGCGGCTGAAATCCTTCACCCATCGCGCGGGAAATGGCTGCAGTGCCCTTTCTTTTCATTTGAATGAAGGTCAAAATAATAGTTTACTTTAAGAATCAATTTAAAAGACATTACCCTGTAAATTAAAAGAGCAAGCACTACTATACACATAAACTCATATACACTTTGTGCATGATAGTGTAATTTAAAATAACTTTATTCCGTGGAATTTTTATTTTTTTTATATTTGA